AGAGGTGTGGACGATCGGACAGGGGGACGAATTGACGGACGGATGGATTACCAAACATATCTGACGAACGGACAGAGAGAGGTACGGACGATCGGAATGAGGGACGAAAGGACGGACGGAGGGATAAACAGAGAGATATACGGACGGACAGAGAGAGGCTCGGACAGACGGTCGAATGGACGATCGGATGGATAACCAGATAGATAGATGGACGGACAGAGAGAGGTGCGGACGGTCGGACGGAGGGACGGCAGAGAGATATACGGACAGATAGAGAGAGGTGGGATGGACGGACAGAAGGAGTGTCGAATGAATGGACAGAGAGAAATTCCGACACTCGGATAGACAGAAACACAGATGCATAGAGGGACGGATGGACAGACACTCACACAGAGTTACAAATAGATGTATAGACATATAGATAACCATAAGCCACACATACTCAGCGAATAATAAAGGGTAGCGTCTAGTCCATCAATCAGCAGCACGAGCACTCACTCGACGTTTGCATTAAGAAATTGATTGGAGCAACTCAATCCGATGGAGTTGCAAAAGCACTTTCATTTAGGCACTAGTTTATCCTCCAGTTAAATGCGAACCCAAATAAATGAAAATTTATTGAACACAAACAATGAGAACAAGGAACAAAAAAAAAAGAAACAAATTTTAAATAAAGTTAATTCTTCCCAATCTGGTAAATGTCGTGTTTAAATGGTATTTCGTGCTCCTCAAACAGCAGAGCGTCCTCCCTAGTCTGGGCAGTGAGCTCCTCAATCTGCAAATGGCTGGAGGACCAGCAGATGACCAGGCTACGCTCTATATTCTCGCCCGAGAGACGCGAATTGCCAAAGGTGTGGCAGCTGGGCCGGCCACACAGGCCCGGAACGGGGCTGTTAATGATCTGCAGTGGATGCAGCTTGATGCAGCAGTTCAAGGGAATGTGCAGGACGCAGAGCAGAATGAACGACTGGTTGGTGAACGTGAATGTGACGTAAACATGAACGGGATCCATGGCCATGGACTGGATGGGGCCACCCACGCACTGGTGCCAGTTGCAAAAGAAGCGGTCCAGATCGATGACCTCCCGGCTGCTCCACACCTTATTCTCCTGCTTGAAGATGCCGACGTCCTTGCTCGAGCTGGCGCCCATCACCTTGCTGGAGCCCTTGAGCACATAGAGCAAGTGGTTGCCCTTGGCGGTCCATGCGGCCGTCTGCAGGGGCATGCGCTTGACCAGCTTGTTGCTCATGACGTCCATGTTGTTGCGATAGCCGTACAGAGAGGAGCGCTCCCTAATGTAGTAGATGAGATACATCAAGTCCAGGGGGTGGCGCAGCGCCCAGTAGTTGGTGCCCGAGACGGGCATATATAGCTCCTGCAGCACCAGCCTCAGTGCCGTATGCCAGATCTGTATGCGTTGATTGCCCAGCGAGGCGCTGCCCAGGAGGCTGCCCCCCTGGAGCCACTGCAGATCGTAAATGAACTCCTCCTCGCGGTAGTCGTACCAGACCATCGACTTGACGCCCGCCTTCGAGATCGACCACACGCAAATCCCGCCCTCCCCGCCGACCGCCAAGTGAGTGCCATCCCAGGGTCGAAAGGCGGCGCAGCTGATATTGCGCTGCTTCGGCGATATCAGGTAATGGGGCTTCAAGCACATATCCTGATAGACCAGGGCCACATCGTTGCAGGTCAGCAGACAGCGCTGATTGTCCGTCGGATGGCAGACGACATAGCGTATTTTGGTCGTCTTAAAGTCGAGCGTCTCCGAGTTGGCTGCCAAATCATCGAGGCTCGCCAGGCCAGTGTCGTAGCGATGGTGGCTCCAGCTGTTCATACGGTCGCGCAGCCGAAGATATTTCAACTTCAGCCTCTGGCAGTTTGCGATGAAGCACTTATAGAACTCCGTGACTCTGCTCAGCACACGCTGGATGGGCGACTCCTCCTGGAAGTCGTTCAACGGCTCGGGACGAAAGCGAACAAACGTGTTTCGCCTCACAAATTCATTCACGTTGCGCAACATATCTGCCGAAATTCAATTGCCGAATATGGAATAATATATGAATAATTCTATTTACTTTTATTTTTTGTTTTACTTTGGTTTTTTTTTTAATTTTTTGGAAAAAATTTGAGCACTGCTCTTCAGTAAGAAACGATTGGGACTGAATTTTTTTTCGGTAGGCATCGAGAGTTATGCTGCGCTCGCTATGCCTACTTTGATCCAAAATTTGAGCATTACAACAGTAAATCCAGAGTACTTTTCACTAATGATGGCAGGATTAAGCATATGATACGAAAAATCGATTATTTTGCCTCCATTGGCGATTTAATAGTATCGAAAAATGAAATCATAATCGATTAAATATATAAGAGATATAAGTATTTGACACATTGTACCCCCTCTGGTTCTGCCTAGAAAACAACTAATAATTCAGAATATAAAATCAATTAACCCGAATTGAAAAAAAAAGCAAAATCTTGATAAATCTAATCTAAATAAACTACGTATATAACCATAGGAAAGACAGTCGAGCTGTGTCGATGGAGCTTGAATTTGCGCATAGCTACTTATTCAGGTTGCACAATCGTTTTGCGCAATCATGCTGGCACTCAATTTAATTGATTTTAAAGCTGCTGCCAGACCAGACCAAAGTCAGAAAGACAAGAAAAAAAAAATTGACTGCGAGCGGCTTGGGGGCTGGGAGGGGCTAGGTGGAGTAGGTTAGGTCTTGTCCATAAAACAATTGAGGGGCATATGCAGCCGCAGTCGAAAGAATGCGTAACAGGTTAGAAGCCCAGCAGAGTGAAACCCAAAAAGTCAGCTCTCGAAACTTTTGTATAGCAGTTGGGCTCTAGATGGGTTCAGGGCCGGCGTAGCATTGAGAGGATGTGCGGGAGGACTTTTGGTTTTTGGCTTTTTCGGGCTGGGTTCGGTTTCAGCTCTGTGAACGGTTCGGTCAGGCGGCTTTTGAGTGTTTTCCACCTGAGCTCAAACTTAAGTGGCGAAACTTGATTAAACTACATCCACACAGACACACACACACCCAGAAACTTTCGACTTGCATCGAGTGTGACACAGAGAGAGAGCGAGCGAGGGGAAGAGCGAGAGACTGGGGCCGGAAGTCCAAGGACTACGTACAGGGATTTACTTGCGGTTGTGCAGCCAACGACAAAGAGTTGACTTCTCTCAACGTTTTTATGCGATGCACAATAGCCACAGTTGCAGCTACAATATATTATAAAAGGAAAATACCCTGTAAATAGTGCAACTCGCATAAAGAGGTATATTAGCTGGAGAGTCGATATGAAAGCAGGAGAGGTCAAGTCGATGGCAAGGCTAAGCTACAGTCGGCAGCTGTTTGAGCCAAACTTGACAGCCTTTTTATACGCACACATGCATACCCTACATATAACTAACTGTTCTTCAATAAAAAATACATATACATATATATCTCTTCATACTATATCATTTTTATTTATGCATACAAAATTCATTCGCCTATTTCAGGATCATCAAGAACTGAAAAAAAAAGAAAATAGAAAATAAGAAACACTTTACAGGATATGTCCAAGTCGACCAACTTACTCAATTCGCTTTGCAGCTGACGTCTCAGTAGAACTCCAGTGGCAAGTCCAGCGCGTATTCCTGCTGTTGCTCCACGTGGGGCACGACCGCAGCTGGAGCTGCAGCAGCCACAAGCTGCGGCACAGCTGGTGGCAAGTAAGCATTGCCGGGTGGCGGCAGCAGAGCTGCCCAGGCGGCGCTGTCAAAGAGCCCGCAGATAAACAACAATAGCAGCAGCGGCAGCAGCAACATCTTGAGCCAAACCCAGATTCACTTGTGAACTGTTCACTGGTTCCGCTCAGGCAGCTCATTTTATACCACTAGCAGAGCCAACGAAGCCAAGGTTAGAAATCCAAAGATCGACTAATTGAAATTGCAAATGAAGCTCCACGCAAAATGCAGCCAGATACCCTGTACATAAACTGTGAGGGGTATGACATGTAAGAGGTTTTATCTAGTAATTTAATTATATTTTTTCAGCAGCTCCTTTAAAAGTTCTTCTGCTGAAGCTATTCACGATCATCGCACTCACGCCCACTATCGACAGCCTCATATGGTTAAGAATCAGTCGATATATCGATATTGCTGTTCTCTCTAGTCTCCTATTGGCCTTCTACAGACATATTTCAGTTATGTTGAAATGGGAGTTTAGTTCTTTGAGTCTGAATTTCTAAAAATATCGACTACTTTAACTAGCTAAAATCGATAAATATCGTTTTCTTTAGCTGCAATTCCTACAGCGTATTTCTCTCTAGTAACTACAGACTAACTCAAATATATATTAACATTTTCAACACATACTAAGATTAATATAATATTGATTGTATTCATATTTTATTCAATATCGATAAATATCGATTAGATAAAGTACCTCCAAGTCGAGCATTCTAAAATGCGATCTTGTTGCCCTGCTTCAAGCTAATAATAATTGTTAAGGTTGAATACATTAAGATTCTCGCGCACTGTAATGATACTCTATAATAAATTATTATAATGTGGACATGGGCTATACTCTACCTTTGGTATTTTATTTTTTAATTCCTTATATTTTTATCTATTTTATATGTAGCTGTGTATTTGCAGGGTATGTGATCAGCCATGCAACTCTTCAGATATATGAGCTATATGGCTTCATATAATAATAAATGCATTGGACTCTGCCTCCACTTACAGGGTATATGCGAGTCAAGCTCTTACTGTAATTATGAAAGATTTCGGCTGCTTCATGGCTTTTAATGAATCCCCCAGCATTTGAAGATCTTATCACGCATGCATTACAATCCCTCAGCAGACAAAGCTCAGTTCAGTTTATTCATATTCGTGCAAATTTCCCAGTTTTTTGTCTGCCTCAGCTCTTATACGACTGAGTGCCAGTTGAGCTGGACGGCAGAGCTCGGCCGGTGCGTACGAGTCGGATGTTCGGCTGGCGCATGCGCTGGGTGGCATTCGTCAACCGACGAATTGCAGCGTTTCCCGCCAAAGGCCCGCTGCGCGGCCAGCGGGCGGTCAGGGCGGGGGCGAGTTTTGTTTACCTTTGTTATCAGCGCTTATCAGACGCTGCGCTGACATCCTGACGAGCTTCAAGTGTGTGCCCATTGGTGGGAATCTCTGGGAGTGCGATGACAAAAGGGCGTGGGTGGGCGTGGGTGTGGGTGTGGCAGGCAGGCAGACTGCCAGCCAGCCAGCCAGGCAGGCCTTCAAGCCAAAGTCAATGTCCCAAACACATCAATTACTCGCGCCGAAGTCATTTGAATGACGCGAAATGTTGGCAAACTACATTCACATCATTCATCATTCAAACGGCGCGCATTCCATTCCCTTCAGCTAATGGCTTACATTAATTCCAGAGCTCCGAATGAGTTACAGCCAGCCTGTGAATTAGGCATTCCACAGGAACTTCTCACATTGTTTTGTAAACTAAGAGTTCGGATATAGTTTTAGTATAATTGAATGCTATAAAGTTTTCAATAATATATTTACAGTAGAATCCGGCTATAACTACATTCAAGAGACAGTAGGTATACCCGGTAGACGCTTATACGATGTATAAGTTTGCTCATGTAAATTTGTCTGGGGACCAGAATTATCGTCGCAATTACCGTACGGATGCGGAGTCGTTATAACCGGATTCTATTGTATAATAATATTCTGATTTTATAAGAGAAATTTCAATGAGTATACGACTAGCTCCATTTTCATCCGACACTTACCGACTGCTCGGAGTACTAAGATCTCCTCCTTAGGCCTTAAAAATACGTAATGAATATTGTCATGGAAGTAAGCTGAAAAAGACATCGAAATATTATCCAAACTATGAATAGTTAATAAATACTTACAGCCTACTTAGTTTAAGAAATTGCTCAGTATGAACCCTGTGAAAGCTATCATATGCAGTTTATCTATCGGGCTACATACTTGCTTACCCAAAGCCCGTTGGTAATGGGCATCTATGGAGCATAAAGCAGACACAAGTGGGAGAGGTTGAATCCAAATAATGTATATATTGCTCAGAGTAAAAAAGAGAGGCTTTTATCCCTTATGTCCGTATTGCTTTTGTCTCTACCGTCATTCCTCGGATATATATAGAGTATATATGCATTTGATCAGAGATCAGATTGATCAGATACGTCAATCAGTTATATGCGTATTCTTTTTGTCCTTCCCCTCATCCGTCAGTCCGTGCCGGCATTCGTACGTCCGCCCGTACCTCCTGCCGTACTAAGTAGAAGCTTATGGCTATGATTGCAGCATGAGCTCTTCACATTATTCAGAGTGTCTCTGCTACAGTTCCACACATTGTTGTTAGGGTCTCTAATAGACATGTCTAGAAATCAGTGAGTAGCCGCTGCTTGTTATCCTTGTGCTGGACTGGAGGGAAAAACACATATCGTACATTGTGTGCAACATGATGACAACATTTGTTGCTTGCAACCATATGAGTGGGGTACGCTCCACTTTCCACTTGCCACTTGCCGCTTGCCAGTTGCCAGTTGCCAGTTGCTCGTCGCTCGTCATCGACTGCCTGAATCCTTGCCAACTGCTGCAGGAGGCAGTCGTCTCCCTTTGCAACACTTCCGGCATTTAAGCAAACAAAATATGTAGCAAGCAGTTGCAGCCAGCTGCATGCGGCCTCAGTGTTTCGGGTGTAGTCGCATTTGTGTGCCACATGCGCCATGTTGCATGCCGCATGCCCCACATGTGTAGGCGGAAAATGCGGCCATGTAGGCTAATGAGTTCGCTTTATGTCCGACCTCCGAGCTGTTATTGTTGCTGTCTCTCTCTCTCTCTCTCTCTCTCTCTCTCTCTCTCTCTCTCTCTCTCTGTCTATGCCCTCTCCTCCTCCTCTCTCCAACGGTTTTTGCTACTCTTCTGCTTCTTCTTCTTCTACTTCATGTGCTCTCCTCCTTGACTGTTGCGGCTGTTGTTTTGCTCCTGTTGTTGGTTAACGAGGCCGCCACATTCTGTGGCACGACTGCCCTTCGCCCCTCGCCCTTCGCCCTGCACCAGTATGAAAACAAATGCTTGTGGCGGTGT